AATAACAATACCCTTGTCCAGGCCTATAGGTAGTAATGGTTGCCAGTTTTGCTGGCTTTGGTGTGCTTAACCACTCTTACTTTGTTCTCTTAACTCTGCCTATAGTCTTATAAACTATTCTTTATTCAAGTCTTGTCAATGAACTCCGAGTGGGGAGAACCTTGACTAACAGAGGAATTGCAGAACATGGGCACATCAAAATGTACTGTAAGTTCCCCGGGACAAGCACTTAGCTTCAGTTACATAGTTGTAAGAACTAGACAGGTGTGTAGTTCTAATGGCTTATGTGTCATAGACTTCAAAAACTGGAAATGCCTGTCATTTATGTTTATGTAAAAGAAACTAATCAATTTCTATGTTCTGGACAGATAAGGTCTCTACACATCTATCTATCTATCTATCTATCTATCTATCTATCTATCTATCTATCTATCTATCTTTATGTCTGTCCGTCTGTCTATGTATCATGGCAAACAGGTCACTTCCAAGCTCTGTACTCAAGGGGAACAATGCTTATTTTTTCTGTAACAAAATCAGGAGATGGTAATGTGTCAAAACCTGGCGGGGGATTATTTTAGGGTATGCTATGAATCATACGTTATTATTACATTGTTGAAGCAAAATAAAAGATTGGGTCTGGGCTGCTGTGTGAGGAGAGCGGTAGTGGATCACGGTGTGAGTAAATAAGGAAAGTGTTTAGTGTTGTTGGGTTGATGCAACTGTGTCTTTGTAGTCAAAAGTTCTGGGCAACTAAGAGTCAGTAATGACATAGAATATGACCACATTTACAGCTAATCAGACAAACCCTCAGTGTCATACATGGGTGAATTTTTCAGATATACCACAGTTTCATTGTCTTCCCCATATAGACCAAAGACTTTACCATTCACGGTTCAGATCTGGAGTGAATGATGTGTGGTGCATGTGTGACTACCAGTTCTCCCATAACCATATCAGACACAAATAAATTATTATGACGGTCGTTCCAATTTAGCTGAAGTAAGACATTTATTTCCTCCAGTAAGTACTAGGGGCAGGCTCTAGCTCCTGTTTTTAATGTTTCAGGGACAATGGTAAAGTAGCTAAGAACCTTGGCTTTGGCCAATGGTGTTAGACAGAGTGCTCAGCCTGCCCTTCCTACTTCTATGGGACTGGATGTAAGCACGTTACTTTGTTCTTCCGAGACTCAGTGTGCCAACAGTACACTGGTGACAGGAATTGAACACTTCTAATTTGCTAAGGTATGCAATATTTTTGTAAAAGAAAGAATACTGAAAATGTCTTCAATAGTTATTTGTGTGAAACTTCCTGAAAGTTTGCAGAATGGCACATTCATTGTGCCCTGTCCTGTTCCCTTCACCTACTCTATGAACTTAACCCAAGCTGTTTCTGTCAGCAGCGTGAACCTGTGACTTACAGAAGCTTCTTCAGCATTTGTAATGTCCTGAGCTGCCCCAAGAGCTGTATTTAAGGAATTTCTGTCTCTCACTTAGTGTGAGTGAGTTTCAAAGACTGCTTGGGGTAGAGCTGTGAAGAGCCCACTTCTTTCGCCTAGTTGAAGGACTCACTCTGGGGATATATTTAATGTTCCAAGGCTCTGCATGGGTTCAGGAAGAGATTGGAAATTTGCCAGGAATTATCAACCTTGGCTTGACTTCCCTTTCCTGACCAGCATCCCCCTATTTGTTGTCTCCTCACAAAAATTCCTTAACGTAAGAATCTTTGCCTCAGTGGGCCTGGTCCCTCTGAACACCAGCAACTAGTAAGAGTATTGTTTAAGCTACTAAAAACTGTAAGGTAGAAGTCTCACTTCACAGATGTGGGAATGGAGGCATCCTAAGGTCACTGTATTAGCAACCTCAGCTGGATTCCAGCCTCCAGGTGTCCTGTGCTTCCAGCTCCAGGTGCACCTGTCTCCAAATCTTCCCTCTCCATTTCCCTAGTTGTTTGTAAATAAGAGTGGATGCTCTTTTGCAACATTTGGTGTTGAGAAGGGAGAAGAGAACGTGGATCAAGTTAAAGAAAAAGGCTGAAACACCGAGCACAAAGCCTGGATCTTGTTCCTTCAGTACCACCTTGCAGGGTGATACTCTCTGACAGCAGTAGGAAGGGGCTGTGGAGAGAGGGAGCCAACCTGAGTACTATTGTATTTCTACATGCCCACACTCTGCAGCCTTCTTGATGCTGGCATCAGCTTGCTTCGTGCTTAAACCGCTTATTAAAGTCTAGACGCAACATAAAAGCACGTAAATTGGTTCCAGCCATCTCTAGTAAAAACTTCAACTGGAGCTCGGAAGGGATTGGAGCATCTCTCGGCATAATTAAAATTGACTCTTAAAGTTTCTTTAGCGTAATTGGTAACACTTTCTTTGGAAGTTGGTGAAAGCCTCTTGCTGGGAAGGTTAAATGCATTTCTGTGTATAAGATCAGAATTCAAATATAGTTTTATGGACACATTTACAGTTATGTTCTACCCGGGTGGTCTTTTTCTCCCTGTATCTTTTCTATTTAAGATTTATGCTGTCATTCACCACAGTCTAAATGTGTTTTGATAAGAAGAAAAAAATGACCCGCTGCTGACGCATTTCAAACAGAGAGTCAGTAGTATTTTGAAGCTCTCAGTAAATTGAACTGCAGTTTGGCTTAACCCAAGTCCCTTCTTTTCCCAAAGCTCTTCAGTGGGAGTGGAGCGCTTAACCTTTGTTATCCAGAAATTGAAAGTTGCTACTTCTCTTTAGTTGCATCCAAAGGTAGGAAGGACAAGCTTTCTAAAGATATCCAAGTACTGCAGATGCAGTGATCAGACCTTCATTTCTTTAGGACAAATATGTTTGCCCATGTGACTGTTTCTGCATGTTGGGATGCTTTTCCTTGGTCTGTGTATCCTAATGGTCCTGTCTGTGTCACAGTGTCTCAAAGCCGAAAAGCCCATGTTTTGATCATGGATGAAGCTTCTGTCCCTAGTTGAGACCTGGGAGGGGCGAGGATTGAGTTTCACTTTAGAGATCACTAGCTTTCCCTAATTCCTAGAGTCAATATTTCATCTCTGTCTTAGGAATTGTGCTCTGTTCATCCTTATGAAGAAGCATCTTTAGATCAATCCAATGTTTCCTGTTCAGGCTGGGAGGATAGTGCTATGAAGACTAATCAGAAAGGAGAAAAAGTCACTCTGATCCTGGGATCCAAGTGCAGCAACTACTTTTTTATTTCTGTTTTATTTTTTCATAGTAATGGTCTATAGGAATATGCATTTTTACATAATTTTGATTATTGTTATAGAGATAGACTTTTTGAATAATAATATTAAATATAAATAATTAAAAATTCACATTAGACATACACAGAACATAGGCTATTATAAATATAAAAAAGTGTGCAAGTTCAGTATCTTTTATCTGGAATGATTAGGACCAGGACGGTGCTTTTCTTGCCTCCCACTCCCAAAATGTTGGTATATTTCATTGCACTATTTCTGCACAAACACCCATTACCTGAAAATTCAAAATGCAAAGTGATTACCAACAGGCATTTCTTTTAGTGTCTATATCACTGCTCAAAACATTCTCTATTTTAGATAATTTAGGTTTTGTGCTTTTAGATTAGGGATGTTTAATCCATGGTACCCTTATTCAAAGGCAATGCCTGTTAATATTTTGGTACTTATTTCTTTATGTTTTTGTAAAAATTGTTTTTTTTAACCTACAATTGTTTGTATGTGCATGCTTGTGTGCAAGTCTGTCCTCTTTGCATGCATACAATGTCTTCCTCTGTAAATTTTCACCCTAGCATTTGAGAAAGACTTTCCCACTGAATCTGGAACTTGTCATTTTCAATAGACTGACTGGCCAGAAAGCCCTCAGGATCTGCTTGCTGTTGTCTCCCAGCAGGAGGGTTAGAGCCAGCACTAGGGTTACTGACACAAGCAGCCACATTCAGCTTTTTATATGGGGTTGGACATCCAAACTAAGGTTCTCACGCTTATGCAACAAACATTTGACCCAAAAAAGCCATCTCCCCAGCTATTTAATATGCAATTTTATTCATTAATGTATATTTGATTTTATTTTGATTTAATGCAACTCACCCCCACATACTCGAGTAATATATCTGTACAGCCTATGAAATCTATGTGGTATTCCTTGTATGTGTATGTGTTTAGGGCTGACCACTTGTGAGTAGATAATCTAGAGGAGGCTATTCATGAAGACAACTGATTCTTCCTCTTTCAATAGCCATTAATGGCCTGTAGCTCTTCCCTCCAATTTGGCTTTGTTGCAGGATTCCCGCCTGAGTCCCATTGCTGCTTTAGCTCCCAAATAACACACAAGACACTATATTAATTATGAAGCTGTTGGCCATTTGCTATGATTTTTAATTGCCTAGCTCTGACTTAATCATTAACCCATAATTACCAATATATATTTTTATAAGGACTTATCTTTCTGAGAACGCCAGACTTGAGTTCTCTCCTTCAGGGATCACATTTCAACCACTCTCTTCACTACATTTCCCAGAATCCTCCTAGACACCTAGTCCCACCTGTCTTGCTTCCCTATTGGCCAACAGTGCTTTATTTATACCAGGCAAACATATACGGAGAAGGATTTCCCCCATCATGTTATGTCAACTGGTATTGCCATTAATGCAGATTTTGTTTATGAACTGTATTGTTGAGTTTTGATGAATTCAGCTTCCCTGTCATGTATAGAGGACACTATCTCACAGCAGGTTTTATTGTCCTCCATGTCTTAAAATCTTTCTGTCCTTCTTCCAAAATGACCTTGGAGACTTAGGTACAGAAACTGTGTTATAGTAATTTCTCTTGGGACTTGGCCCCATATGGTCAGTTGTTCTCTGTGTTTTGATCAGAGGTAGATTTCTATGATAGTCTCCATGTGCTACAAAAAGAAGCTTCTTTATCTGTGAATATAAGGATAAATATTTAGAATGTGGCTAGAAATTACACTGCTCTAGAAAAGTGATAGTAATTTCTCTTCTAGGGTTCATCATCTCTTCGACTATAGGTCATTGGCTCAGTTTACAGTAGCAGAGATGAAGTCTCTCCTAGTGAATGGGCTTTAAGCTCAAGTAGACAACTGTTGGTTACCCCCAAGGTATGAATACCACTATTGTACCTTTCATATTTTGATATCTTGCCATGCTGGTCATTGTTGTGGCTCATAAGCTTTATATCGGGTTTGTGCTGTTGATTGCTTTGGATACTATGAGAGCTGGTCTTTTGGAAAGAGGCTTCCAGATCAGTTACAGCTTGATTCTTCCACACCCCATGTCTGAAGGGTATAAAGTCTTCAGCAATCTGATAAATCTCATTAAAATGATTATATAATATATCCCATCATGCAGACAATAATTTTCTTTGTCGTTGTCTTATTAGTAGATAATATTTCATATGCCATATTATAATAATTCTGCAAGCTTGTAATATAATTATGAATTAATATCTATTTTATTTCTGTATCTAGGATTATTTCCTTTTCATAAATTCCCCCAAGTGGAACTGTAAGATCAAAGACAATGAAATTAAGTCTCACAATAATAGTGATAGATAGCTCTTGAACATATCCTACAGATATAATGCACAACATTGGCACTCTGAGTTATGATTATGTTAAAATGTTCATGTTATTTTTGACAGAAAATGGCTTTCTATTTGATCTTCATGTTGACAATCCCATTTGATGTCTACAGTGGGATCTTCTCAAGTGAGTCATCTGTTTTTGTGCTTCACTCAGTTAGTGTGGAGTTTTGTGCTTTATAAGGTATTGATCTGTCTTAGATACTGTACAATTACAAAAGTGTGAAATATATTTTCATCTTTGTTTATGCTTCCTGAAATTTGGAATAGCATTTTTGTTTGTTTGTTTGTTTTGCTTTGTGGACAGGATAATGCAGTGCAGATACAATTCCTGCTTATTTCATGATGACCCTGGCCACTCTGGGAGTTCAGTGGTGATGTTCGGAGGTGACATTATCTTGGTTTCTGGGGGGAAATCATGAAATTCTACTTAGTTTCCAAGTCACATATAACCTTTTGTTCCAGTTTTCTGGTGTTCTTCTGTTGCTCCTTTTGATGAACAATCCCAAAGCTCTTCAATTGACATGAGAGATAGATCGTGAGGGGGAAATTCAGAGGGCTTTCGTTATTTTATGACACAATGTTATTGAAATGTGTGAAGGAGGTGTGGATAGGATAAAGTTTGAGCTGAAAGCAGCTTAAAGGAAAACTGACTTTTCAGACTCTACCTGGAAGCTATGCATATGCATGTCTATGTAGACACATGTGTGTATGAGTGAATATACATACTTGCTGACCTAGATTTCAACTAAAAGTATAGCTCAAGGCAAGAATTCCTATGTAGGAGTTTATTTTTGGAAATGATGTGAGGTAGCTGGAACAGAAGATTGGAGAAAATGCAGCAGGCAAGGAAGAATAGCTAATTCCAAGATGTATTATTAAGTTGGTTCTTGCTGGTGTCATCTGAGTTCAGTCTGGTGTCTGTAGAAACAGTGTACGATAGTCTCTTGAATTTATTTGTGGATTCTCAAACTTCATGGATGGAGGTGTTATGTAAGTTACTAACAACTTCACTGTTTTAGGTTTGTACTTTTCAGTGCAGCTGGTAGGATTGTTACTAACATTCTTTATGCTTGTGTCAGAAAAATTCCCAGGCCGAAAAGCAAAAGGTTCATAATGTAGGTGATATGAAGTTCTGGTCTGATATAGAATATACATTTGGCTACTGCAGGAATCTGGGAGCAAGCTTGTCTCACATGTGGCCCAGAGATCATGAGTATGTGAGGAGTTATAAATGTGACCCTACACATTTGCAGATGACAACATTGTATTGCAGTGTTAAAGGGTTGGCTACTCTTATGTGGGAAGGGTCAATGTAAATGATTGTAGATGGGACACAAGAGAAGGCAGGGGCAGTGTATGTATTATAACTGCATATATATTTTCTCATTTAATTTGGTTGATTCTGAAACCTGGGTGGATACAGCATAATGAACTTAGTATCAATATTCTATTATTTTAGTCTTCTTTCAATGTGAGTAACCTCTATTCATTTCTCAGACCTCCAATATTCTCCAAGCATGGCCAGTGAGAACATAGCATTTCCCAAAGCAATTGGTTTTTGTACAGGGCATGCCAAACAATCAGAGCCCAGAGAGCTTTAGGAATACCATGAGAGCTTGAACAAAAAACAAGAAAGTGAGGAATAGGGTCATGATACAAAGAGAACCAGGCCTTCGTGGGTTAGCATTGTTTGAATTCCTGGCTTCAGCCATCCATGGCAAAGACTGCAGCTACTTTAGCTAGTGAAACACCTGTTTCTATAGAAGGCAGATTGACTAGAGTTTTCTGTCAATTGCAATCAAACCTCAGATGCTTTGGGTGTGCCACTATTTAAGATCAATCTTTTGAAACTTATTTATGAATTTAGAACCCTGTGCCTACTGCTGTGAAAATTTTCAGCTTCTGTTTGTATGGAGAAGAAAAGGATCTATATGAGAATTTAGGTCATTTTAAACTCCTGGAATAGAGAACACATGTCTTTAAGTTAATCTGGCTTTAAGCAATTACTGCCTTTACAGAAGGCATAGAAAAAATCAATTCTCTAGCTGATAAGATGGGAGAGACACAAAGAAGGAGTCGGGAAGATACCTTCTGTTGGAATTTATGATAGTATAGTATTTCCACACTGTATATTTCTATTCATATATCAAATAACTTGCTGCAAAAATGTAACACATTAAGTAGTCACAAAACTTTACATGTATGTGACAATAAATGGTTTTGTTCCCAAACCTCTTGTTTCACTGGGTGCTTGTGCTGACCTGATCTGGTTTCAGAGAGCGTGCTCACGTGCTGCTACCATCTTCAGTTTGGCCAAGAACTCTGCTGAGCTCGACTGATGTCCTCACACATATGAGATCTTGACTGGGATGGGTAGGGATTGCTTTCCACATTGCTTCTTTGAGCAAATGAGCTAAGGCATGCTTATACATGAAAAAGGAGGAACAAGGGATGAAATGGAAATACATAGGCCTGTTCAAGTCACATGTTCACTTCACCTATGGTAATATTTGAAACAAATTGCATGACTGAATTCAAGGACAGGAGTGGAGTGCTACAGTAATAAGGCCTAAAATAAAGGGCCAGAAGAAAGTGAAAAATCAAGGTTCTCATTCCCCAATTGCACATGCTGGTGGATTACACATATAGTTTTCTGAAATTAATATCAATGCAAATGGTTTGATTTGTAGACCATTTGGTTGTCAAGTCTCTGGAAGAATAAGTATCCCTACAACAGAAGCTTGTTCAAATCAACTTTCCTCCAAACAATGTGACTTCTACAGAAATAATTAAATATTTGAGATCATTTATTTTAAATTGAAAAGTTTTCATTTTCACTTACAATATCTCACTTTATTTCATGAAACTTAAGTTGCTCTGTGTGTGTGTGTGTGTGTGTAAGTTCTGCTTTGGGTCTATGTTTTCTACCATTTTTGTGAAAAAATTCTAAAGGATATCTACTGTGTTCTTTTTACATATTTTAATGTAATGTTTTTAAAGGGGTTATTGTTTGGGGTATAAGTGGACTAGAGAATTATTAACGCTACATTTTTAAAAAGTTACAATATTACTGCTGGATTTCTGGTGTTAGAATTTATGCAATATTCAGCCTTTATAATCTCAGTTCTCCAACTTTTTCTTTAAAAATCTTTTTCCTTCGAGGAGACCACCTCGAATGCCCATTCCTGATAATGAACTTGATGTCTATAACCATCCGGGAGCCTTCATCCTGTGACTGATGGAAGCAGAGGCAAACACACAATTAATCACTGAACTGAACCCAAGGAACCCAGTGACAGAGAGAGAGGAGTGATGAGCAAATTGGCAAAGAATGGGCTGGCAAAACCAGCAGAGACAGCTGATCTGAACAGGGGAGAGCTCTTGGACCCCAGACCGACAGTGGGGAGGCCAGCATGGGACTGATCTGGACCCCCCAAATGTGAGTGTCAGCAAGAAGGCCTGGGCAACCTATGGGGCCCTGAGCTGTGGATCAGTGTCTATCCCTGGTATACAAACAGTCTTCGTGTGCCTATAGCACAAAGAGGGATGCTCTCTCAGCCTGGACTCTTAGGGGAGTGCCTGGACCCTACCCAGAGTAAAATGACAGACTCTAGATATCCCCTATGTGGAAGGATTTGGCAATAGGGTGGGAGGGTGGGGGGGGGAAGGGGAGTGCGGGAGGAGGGGAGGGAGAGGGAACTGGGATTGACATGTAAAACAAGCTATTTAAAATTAAAATAAAAAATGATTAAAAAAATCTTTTTCCTTTATAGTTTTCCAACACTGAAGGGTGGTTGGGGTCAAGAATAATCCCCTGTAGCCAGTTACTGGCCAGGAGTTTCAAAGAGGACAGTCTATGTTTAAAAGTGATCTCCTGAGATCAGTTGAATGGATTGAATAGTCTGTTTTAAGTCTCAGTTTTCACCTATGTAAATCTATATTATTGCCTGTCATGGTAGCTAAGTGAGATACCATATGCAGGATCTATTGCCCAGCACTTCACAGGTAACGAACATGTGCTTGGCTATCAATTCTTCACCCATTTTCTGAGCTTGTCTCCTATCTACTGCTATCAGCAGCTGGTGATAGCAGCTCAAAAACAATTTATTTAAGATGTTTGTTTCTCAAACAGACACAGAACTGGGAGATGGTTCCCAGGAATGATTCCAGCATGTGGGAATGGCAAAATAAAGGGAAGAGAGGCAGAGCCTTGTCAGTCTTTGTGGCCATGCCATGGGTCTGTTCCCAGCTATTCATGTACCCTATCCAACTTATTTACCTAATCAATTCCATATTTCTTTGCAAAAACCTTAACTCTTTCTCTGGGTGTTATGAAGGTTCACCTACTTTGCCTGCATAAAAGATATGGTTAAGAAACTTGAAAACTATTATTGCTTGGTTACCCAAAGTTGTGGTACACAGATTGGACCTAGGGGACCTTATGTTAAGTGAACGAGCCAGGCACAGAAACATGACACATGTATATGTGGAAGGTAAAAGTAAAATGTTAACTTCAGAGAGGGTAATAGTGGTTCCCAGAGGTGGAGAAAGAATGGCTAATGTGTATTGGTGTAGAAGGAATGACTTCTAATGCCCAGTGCACTAAAGGATACTTATATTTCAAACAGCTAGTAAAAAGATGATTTGAATCTTCCCAACACTAAAATGTTAGATATTTGAGGTGAGCCTTGTGCCCATTATCCTAACCTGATCATTGAAGTTTTGTACTTTATCCTACAAGTGTGTGTGTGTGTGTGTGTGTGTGTATTATATGACTTCTTAAAAGAGACTTAAAAAGACTCAATACATTCTGATTTATTTCACTTGAGATGAGACTCAGGCACTAACGTTTTTAAAAGTTCTTCCATACAATGCTAATGCTAACATGTACAGATAGCCAGGGTGAGTACCATTAAAGAACCAATACCAATGTCTAAGCAGTATTTTTATTTTATATTATTCTTTGGTGATTCCAATTCTTATCTCTTGCTTATTCCAACCTGCAAACACTCATTTTGGAAGAGATATTTTCTTAATAGAAAGCTGGCATTGTTTATCCAGTAAATAAGTTGATGGTTTTATTGCAATGTTCTGGGAGCTGGCTGTGACATAACACCATTAGTCTTTTG